ACTCAGGAGGCTGAGGCAGGAGAATCACTTGAACCCAGGAGGCAGAGGTTGCAGTGAGCCAAGATCGCACCACTGCACTCCAGCCTGGTGACAAAGCAAGACTCCGTCTCAAAAAATAAAATAAAATAACCTCTAAGAAGTTATTCTTAACAAGGTTAACATGGCTACATAAGGAAATGCAAATGTGAAAAGTATTTCTTAAGGATATATAAAAAGAATAAATACTAATAACAGTTTGGATCTAAAGCTCAAATTATTCCAACAAACTGTAAGAGTAGGAACAAAAGGGAAATACTAAAGTATGTGACTCACTCGTTATTTCCAAACACATTGATAGATGCTAGTGTATTTTTCATGTTAGTAAAGAAATAGAGGTTCATTTTCTTTTAATTTTAAGTAATTACTAATTAAATAAAAATAGAATGTTTAATTTCCAAATTACTAGGGGTAAAACAAAAGAGCCAGAAAAACTTGAGCAAAAGCAAAAGACTGAGTGGGAAAAACAGGAGTAAGGCATATAACACAAAGTACAGAACAAGAAGATGGAAGAAGAAGAACAATTATATTATTTAGTATGATAGATGCAAACTTCTTTTTAAATACAAAGAATCTCAAATCATAAAAAACAAAAATCGAAATCCAACTATATGCTATTTGAGATCTACTTAAAACAAAATGACACAGAAACATAAAAATAAAGATATGAGTTAAGATATACCAGGTAAATAGAAACAAAATGAAATTAGAATAGCTATATTAGTATCAGACAAAGCAGATTTAAATAAAAAGCATAAAATAGAACAAGGACAAGCTGTAAAGTCCACAAAGTGGCCAATTTTCCAGATACCCTCTGGATTATTATCCTTTGGATATCCTCCTACATTCCTCGGCAGTATATATTAGTTACCATTTAATTGCCAAATCTCTTAATATGTTATCCTGGAAAATTTGTCTGGACATTATTTGGAATAGAGAGGAAATTTAATTTGGGTACCTAGGGAGCACGGATTTGATATAAGCATTATATTGTTCTGACACATCGAGTGTCTTGAGAGAAACTTAGTTTTTCTTTCCCATCCAGTTTCTTTCTTCTTTTGGTTGCTCCCAACTGCTTTCAGTCCTCCTCCTCCTTCCCTCCCCTCCCAATTTTATAAGACTTATCAGCAGTCCAACCATATGACAAACTGTTAATCTCTTCTACTAAACTGACTGCAGGTTTAAGCTCAATTAGGAGAACAAAATACTAGGGAGTATCAGAAGAGAATAACTCTTCCCTGCGTCAACTTCCATGTTGATGTAGTTCAAACAATATACTCCTGTCCTCGGCAACCACTCTCTCAGTATCTCTTTGGAAGAGAAAGAGTAACTTATCTGATTGGACATCAAAAACTCGACTCCTCCATTCTGGAAACTATCTTGCCTGCAGAGGGCACATGGTCCCTGGCAAAGGGAGCAAGTGACCGGGAGCATAAATCTGCAAAAGGTGGGATTTGCACATTTGTGGTTTTATGACTGAGGGCACTGCTAAATCTGCTTACCACTGGGGGTAGGTTAGACAGGAAGCCAAGTCTTACTGGCTTGACATAGATAACAGAATTCAAGGCTGGCAGAACTATCAGATATTTAGGAGAGATTTCATAAAAGGGAGGGAGCCAAAGAGGAGGAAACCCCAAAATTTGTATATAAAATCCTCCCAAGACCTGTGCTAATCACTAAACTAATCATGAGGCAAGGGAGGGAAACCCAAGAATCATGACAGAAAATCAATCACTGAAAAATGAAATAACTAAGTAAAGATTTCAGCACTACCACTACAGAGGAGACAGTCTGGAGTCTGAGTTCAGTCAAGTTAACTGGCTTCTAAAATAAAAATTCTTTTTCAGAAAAGCAAAACAGAATCCGCAATCTCTCAAATGCATCATTCAAAATCCCAAGTATCCAATCAAAAAAACACTAGACATATAAAGAAATAGGAAAACGTGACCTATTCAGCCTTTAAAAAGAAAGAAATCTTGTCATTTGTGACAATATGGATAAACCTGAAAGACAAATACCACATGATCTCAATTACATGTAAAATCTAAAAAAGTTGAACTAATAGAAGTAGAGAGTAGAATGGTAGTTACCAGAGGCTGGGGAGAGGGGTATTGGGAAGATGTTTGTCAAAGGACACAAAATTTCAGTTAGAAGGAGTAAGTTCTATTGTACAACAGAGGGACAATAGTTAATAATGATGTATTACATTCTCGGAGGTCTACTGTACAACATGGGGACTATAGTTCTTAACAATGTATTATATTTTTGGAGGTCTATTGTACAACATGGGGATTATAGTTAATAACAATGTATTATATTCTTGGAGATATCTATGAAGTAGGATTTTTAGTGTTCTTACCAGAAAAAAAAGATGATGTAATACGTATGTTAATTATGTTGATTTAGCCATTCCAGTGTTTCAAACGTAATGTACATGACAAATATATACCATTTTCTCAATTAAAAATAATTTTTGAATTAAAAATGGTAAAAAATTCTTCAGTCTTAAGGAAAATTACACCAGATAATTTGGATTTATAGAAAAGAATGGAATGACCATAATTGGTAAATGTCCTCAGAAATATAAGACTATTGTTTCTTTCTTAATTTCTTCACATTATATAACTTTTACATGCATAGAGGCCGGGTGTGGTGGCTCACACCTGTAATCCCAGCAGTTTGAGAGGCTGAGGTGGGTGGATCGCTTGAGCTTGGGAGTTCAAGGCCAGCGTGGACAACATGGCAAGATCCTTTCTCTACAAAAAATACAAAAATTAGCTGGGCGTGGTAGCTGGCACCTGCAGTCCCTGCTGCTCGGGAGGCTGAGGTGGGAGGATCACTTGAGACTGGGAGGTGGAGGTTGCAGGGAGCCAGGACTGTGCCACTGCACTCCAGACTGGGTGAAAGAGGCACATCCCGTCTCAAAAAACAAAAACAAAAAACCCTACCATACACAGACAACAATAAAATAGCAGCTCAATTATCAATTCTACTATTTTAAAAAACATCATTGATATGTTTACCCATTCTTTACCACCTCACTCCATCATCATCATCATATGGTTCTTTTCCATAAAATTTACATACACTGACACCTCTAATTTTTAGCTATATACTTTTTTCATTACTTATTTTACTTACAGATTCAGGGTCTCACTCTGTTGCCCTGGTTAGAGTACAGTGGCACAATCATAGCTCACTGCAGTCTCAAACTCCTGGGCTCAAGTAATCCTCCCAACTAAGCTTCTGGAGTAGCTGGGACCACAGGAAACACACCATCATGCCTGGCTAATTTATTTTTATTTTTGTAGTGACAAAGTCCCACTATGTTGCCCAGGCTTATTTATTTTTAATTGACAAGTAAAAATTGTATATATTTATGATATATAACATAATGTTTTAAAATGTGTATACATTGTAAAATGGCTAATCTCCTTGGTTAAATTTATTCCTAAGTATTTTGATTTTTTTACTAGCTATTGTCAATGGCATTGTTTTATTGATTTCTTCTTCCTTTTTTTTTTTTTTTTTTGAGATGGAGTCTTGCTCTGTTGCCTAGGCTGGAGTGCAGTGCTGCTGCAGCCTCCACCTCCCAAGTTCAAACAATTCTCCTGCCTCAGTCTCCTGAGTAGCTGGGATTACAGGTGCATGCCACCATGCCTGGCTAATTTTTGTATTTTTACTAGAGATGGGGTGTCACCATGTTGGCCAG